GACGCAACTATAGGGGCTCCTGGCATCGATACTAGGAGCAAGGACGCTACTATAGGGGCTCCTGGCGTCGCTACTAGGAACAAGGACGCTACTAGGGGCTCCTGGCATCGCTACTAGGAGCAAGGACGCTACTAGGGGCTCCTGGCATCGCTACTAGGAGCAAGGACGCTACTAGGGGCTCCTGGCATCGCTACTAGGAGCAAGAAGCTACTAGGGGCTCCTGGCATCGCTACTAGGAGCAAGGATGCTACTAGGGGCTCCTGGCATCGCTACTAGCAGCAACGACGCTACTAGCGGCTCCTGGCATCGCTACTAGGAACAAGGACGCTACTAGGGGCTCCTGGCATCACTACTAGGAACAAGGACGCTACTAGTTGCTGATAGGAGCAAAAAGCTACTATAGGGGCTCCTGGCATCGCTACTAGGAGCAAGGACGCTACTAGGGGCTCCTGGCCTTGCTACTAGTAGCAGGGCTCCTGGCGTCACTACTAGGAGCAAGGACGCTACTAGGGGCTCCTGGCATCGCTACTAGGAGCAAGGACGCTACTAGGGGCTCCTGGCCGTACTACTAGGAGCAAGGACGCTACTGGGGGCTCCTGGCCGTACTACTGGGAGCATTGACGCTACTAGGGGCTCCTGGCATCGCTACTAGAAACAAGAAGCTACTAAGGGGCTCCTGGCATCGCTACTAGGAGCAAGGACGCTACTAGGGGGTGAAGTATGAAAAAAACTATTTATCGCATCAAGAAAAACTTATTCAAGGGGATCAATAAAAAACTAAATACTTAATCAAAAAAAAAATTCTACCACGAACCCTCTTTGGGCTGGGCGTCGGCCTGTATACTAATCTCTTTCCTCCTGCCTGGCCTCCTGGCTAACAGGCAGTTTCCGCTCAGAGTCGAAATTCGTGGCAGGAATCTTGTGGCACAGGGGGGGTTGGGGGGAGGGGGACGCGCCTCCCCCTATGAGCAGACACGGCTAACGCTTTCAGGTATGCGCTACATTATTCTGAACTAACGTAAGTGATTAAATGTTTGAAGGTGTTTTCTTTTCTGATTTTTGGAGTAATTTCATTCTATTTCATACATTTTGTCAATTCTTTAATGCATTATGTAAAGTTCACGCTGTGCACTTGTGTTTCGGCAGTTCGAACTGTTTTCGACCTTCACTTACCGCCGTTCCCTCTCAAGACTGGGAGGGCAGTTGCCTTGCAAAAGGCGCGGCCGCGGCGCTTCAGTGCGCCCTCTTGTTTTCGTGTTTGCGGACTTCGGGTGCCGCTGCTACCTTTTTCGCATTGGTAGCGGAGCCTCCTCCGGGGGGCTCCGAGTCCTTTGCGCGAAGAAGAACGAGGTTCTGCATAAGTCCTTTGTCACGAACCCTTGGCCGAGCTCTTTTGTTTCAACGTTGAAGAGCCCTTTCGGTCTTGGCTACTTGTTTGAGAATGCCACCAACGACATCGGCTGCAGAAGGTTCCAAGGATGGTGACTACCTCAACCTGCGCGACTCCTTCGTTCCACTGTTCAGTGGACAACCCCAGGACTACAAAGAGTACAGAAAGAGGCTGATGCTCTACCACCACAAGATGAAGATCAGCAAGCGTTCAGCCGAGTCCGTCCTGAACATCCTGGGAAGTTTTCAGGGTGTGACGTGGCGGTTGTTCGAGGACTTCTCAATTGAAGAGGCTGAGAAAGAGGATGGCTTCAGCAAGATCATCACCAAGCTCGACAAGAACTTCGAGTATGACGATCGTGTGCTCCTTCCGAATGACTTTGAGGAGTACTTCAACTTGTTGCAAAGGAAGCCACAGCAAAGCCTCCTGTCCTTCGTCACCGACCATGACACCGCCTATCGTCGTTTGACTGCCCACAATGTGACTCTTCCAGTCCAGGTTCAAGGATGGCATCTACTCCGACGTGCTGCTTTGTCAAAGGAGCAACGCCAAATGGTGACGCTGAAGGCTCCTACGTTGGAAAAGAATCCTGTCATCGAAGCCCTGTACCTGCTGTTCGGTCAGGACTACAAAGCAGGCGGCTGGAATGCTGAACGTGATCGAAAGCTCAACCGCTGGAAGGGCCGCGGCTACGCCGCATTCGATGAAGAAGATGCCTACTGGTCCGAGCAACCCTGGACAGAAGACGCCTACTATGAGGCCGACGACTGGTATGATGACACTGCCCCTGACGATGAGGCTGACTTTGACTATGACGCCATCTACTACGGCGAAGAGGATGAACCTGGAGAACACCATGACCTGTCCGAAGATCCTCAAGAGTTGGCCGAAGAGCATGACCACGCCTATGCCACCTACTTGGATGCCCGGCAAAGATTCCAGCAGCTCAAGTTGGCTCGTGGCTACCTGCCGATCGTCGCCCTCACTGATGGCCAGAACGCTTCGCCCGCCTCTGGATCCTCTTCACCTTCGAAGGGCGCCGGCAAGAACAAAGGAAAGGGCAAGAGCAAAAGCAAAGGAAAAGGAAAGAATGTGGTGCGCTATCCACCCTCCTCAGGTGGAAAGGCTGATCCAAAAGGTCGTGCAAAGGCAACTACATGCCTTCGTTGTGGCCAACCAGGTCATTGGGCAGCGCAATGTCCACAAGGTGCGAAATCACCCTCATCGTCCAACAAGAGACCTGCACCCACTGAGGGTATGGCCTTGCAGAATGAGACCGCCTTGGTCCTGTTCCAGGATGAGATGGGCACCGACCGACCGGATGCCACCATGCTTGACCCAGGTGCATCTGCCTTCCTGTGCGGATATGGTCCATTCGGCCGCTATTTGAGCCACTTGCACTCCATGAACTACCCCATCAACACCATCCGCTTTGCTCGATGTGACCGCCAGTTCCATTTTGGTGGCGATGCATCCTCACGAGCTTCATGGACAGTGGATCTCCCGGTGATGATCGATGGCCAGTTCGGCACGATCCAATGCTACCTGGTTCCTGGCAACACGCCAATGTTGATGGGCCGACCTGTGATTGAGGCTCTGCACATGGGCATCGACTTCAGCCAGAAGCGCATTCGCTTTGGGCAATCGCCTTGGACCTCAGTGCTTGTGGGCCGCCATGGCGAGTACTTGTTGAGCCTCACCACTGGCATGGAGGAAGTACCTGATCCCACGAAAACCCTATTCAGCCTTCGCATTGCTGAGGAAACACCTGGCAGCCATCTCCACTTCGAGGACTTTAACAAGCTCGAACATGTGTTTCAGGCTGAAGATGTGGCTCTAGCAGGTGGCGAATTGCAATCCACTCGCCTTCATCGACATGCCCTTCGAACCATGGAGACTCAGTTGGTCACTACCTCAAACTCCACCGAAGCCTATATCACTCAGGAGCTTCACAATCCTCCCGACCATCGACGAGTTCTCTGGGAAATCTACTGTGGCAAAGCTCGCACTGGCCACATCGCAGAGGAGCTTGGCATGAAGGTGGAAAGATTTTCTTTGGACAATGGCTGGGACTTCAACCTCATCAGCCATCAACAACAGCTACTCCAACGACTTGATGAAGAAGAACCTGATGAAGTGCTGGTGGCACCAGAATGCCGCCTGTGGTCAAGAATGCAAACCTTGGCTTGCCGCACCCCTGCACAGCAAGAAGCCTTGAAGGCTCGACGTGAGCACCACCATCGTCGCCATCTCTGCTTTGCCAAGCGCATCTACCTACGACAGGTGACCAATGCACGGCATGCCCACTTGGAGCAGCCCCGACATGCCTTGAGCTGGAACACGATGGCTCTCCGAGATCTTCCTGGTTACTATGCCGACTTCGACCAATGCCGCTATGGAGCAATGTGCATGGACACCGACGGCATCTGGCGACCTGTCCAAAAGAGCACTCGCCTGTTGACCACAAAGCAGGCTGTTTTAGAGGCCTTCCAGCTGAAGTGTGACCATGACCACTACCACTGCCCCTTGGAAGGTTCTGCTCCTGGCTATGGCCGCCGGACCACCTACTTGGAAGACTACCAACCTGGCTTTGCAGCGACACTGGCTGCTGCCTTGGCTCGTCCTGAGACCGCTCAACTGTGGGACACCGCCTATGTGGTCGATGAAACTGGCAAGAAAGAGACCGGACACCTTCTCAAGCTCAAGTCTGAACACCGACAAGATGCTCTTCGAACGGTGCAACGGCTACACCGAAACCTTGGCCATCCGGCACCTGATGCTCTGGCTGATCTGTTGACCGCCAGAGGAGCTCATCCCACTGTGATCGCCGCTGCCAAGGAGTACAAGTGTGTGGCATGTCTGAAGCACAAGAAGCC